CCCGTTGACAATGTGAATATTCACATTGACATATTAACATTCACATTGATAAGAGTATAAAATTGGCCCGTTGCCCATAGGCGGCCAAAAGCCCCCCCCACGGCCCGGGGCGAGCCCGGCCCAGCCCGTTGACAATGTGAATATTCACATTGGCATGTTAACATTCACATTGATAGGAGTGTAAATTTAGCCTGCACCTCGTGGCTGCCTGAAACCCGCCCACGGCCTGTGGGTGGCCCAGGGCGGGCTCGGCCCGGCCTGTTGACAATGTGAATATTCGCATTAACATGTTAACATTTACATTGATAAGAGTATAAAATTGGCCAGCGGCCTAGGGCGGCCCGGCCCGGTCCTTTGACAATGTGAATATTCACATTGACATGCTAACATTCACATTAATAGGAGTGTAAAATTAGCCCGTGCATCGTAGCCGCCCGAAACCCGCCCACGGCCCGTGGGCAGCTCGGGGCGGGCCTGGCCATTTTTTTTTTAATTCTTTTTAATTTTTTCTACCAAAATTTTATTATTTTTCACAAAAAAAAACACTAGGCCTCGGCGCGGGCCGGGCCTCGGATCGAGCCTTGAATGGACCTTAACTGGGTCGATAGGCTGGGGCGGGCTTCAAAGTGATGCCCCAGGCCCTACCCTGAGGTCTCGGACTAGGCTCGAGCCTAGGCCCAAACGAGCCTTTCCCGGGCCAGGTCGGGGCGGCCCACGGGCCAAAAAATTAGGCCCAGGCCCTAGCCTTGGCACAAGGGTATTCGGGCTTTGGACGGGCCGATGGATCGAGCCTCGGGTTGGGCCGGTGGGCCTGGGCCTAGCCTCGAGTTTAGGTCGGGCTTGGGTGGGCCTGGCCATCTTTTCTAATTTTTTCTACCAAAATTTTATTATTTTCCACAAAAAAATACATTGCGCCTCGGGCGGGCTGGGCCTCGAACCGAGCCTTGAATGGGCCTTAAGCGGGCCGATAGGCCGGGCAGGGCTTCAAAGTGATGACCTAGGCCCTAACCTAGGGTCTCGGACATGCTCGGGCCCGGACCGAAACGAGCCTGCCCCGGGCCGTGGGCGGGGCTTCGGGCAGGCCACGGGCCGCGGGCCAAATTCTACATTCCTATCAATGTGCATTTTAACATGTCAATATGAATATTCACATTGTCAACGAGCCGGGCCGGGCCTACCCCGGGCCATGGGCAAGCTTCGGGCAGCGGGAAAATTTTACACTCCTATCAATGTTAATTTTAACATGTTAATGTGAATATTCACATTGTCACGGGTCGGGCCAAGCCCGCCTAGGGCTGCGGTCGGGCTTTGGGTCGCTCACGGGCTGCGGGCCAATTTTACACTCTTATCAATGTGAATGTTAACATGTCAATGTGAATATTCACATTGTCAACGGGTCGGGTCGGGCCCGCCTTAGGCCGCTGGCCAATTTTATACTCTTATCAATGTGAATGTTAACATGTCAATGTGAATATTCACATTGTCAACAGGCTGGGCCGGGCCCGCCCCGGGCCGCCCATGGGCCGTGGGCGGGTTTCGGGCAGCCACGAGGTGGGGGCTAATTTTACACTCCTATCAATGTGAATGTTAACATGTCAATGTGAATATTTACATTGTCAACGGGCCAGGCCAGGTCCGCCCCGGGCGACGGACGGGCTTTTGGCCGCCCATGGACCGCGGGCCAATTTTATACTCTTATCAATGTGAATGTTAACATGTCAATGTGAATATTCACATTGTCAACAGGCCGAGCCGGGCCCGTCCCGGGCTGTCCATGGGCCGTGGGCGGGTTTCAAGAAGCCACGAGGCGCGGGCTAATTATACACTCCTATCAATGTGAATGTTAACATGTCAATGTGAATATTCACATTGTCAACGGGCTAGGTCGGGCCCGCCCTGGGTCGCTGGCCAATTTTATACTTTTATCAATGTGAATGTTAACATGTCAATGTGAATATTCACATTGTCAACGGGCTGGGTCGGGCCCGCCCTGGGCCGCTGGCCAATTTTATACTCTTATCAATGTGAATGTTAACATGTCAATGTGAATATTCACATTGTCAACGGGCCTGGTCGGGCCCGCCCTAGGCCGTTGGCCAATGTTATACTCTTATCAATGTGAATGTTAACATGTCAATGTGAATATTCGCATTGCCAACGGGCCGAATTGGGCCCGCCCTGGGCCACTGGCCAATTTTATACTCTTATCAATGTGAATGTTAACATGTCAATGTGAATATTCACATTGTCAACAGGCTGGGCCGGGCCCGCCCCAGGCTACCCATGGGCCGTGGGCGGGTTTCGAGCAGCCACGAGGCGCGGGCTAATTTTACACTCCTATCAATGTGAATGTTAACATGTCAATGTGAATATTCGCATTGTCAACAGGCCGGGTCGAGCCCGCGCCCGGGCGGCGGGCGGGCTTTTGGCCAGCTATGAACTGCGGGCCAATTTTATACTTTTATCAATGTGAATGTTAACATGTCAATGTGGATATTCACATTGTCAACGGGTCGGACTGGGCCCGCCCCGAGCTGCCCATGGGCTGCGGGCGGGTTTCGCGCCGCCACGGGACGCGGGCCAATTTTACAATCCTATTAATGTGAATGTTAACATGTCAATGTGAATATTCACATTGTCAACGGGCCGGGCCCGCCCCGGCTCGCGGGCGGGTTTCGGGCCGCCCACGGGCCAATTTTACATTCCTACCAATGTGAATTTTAAAATATGAATGTTCACATCATAAAATTGCTAACCGTTCAAAAAATATTTGTAAGACTATCAAAATTAAATATAAGGGCATAAATGTCCAAGAAATAGTGTAAATCAAGAAAATTGATATTTTGGAATAAAACTATACATACATGGGACTGAATGGGCTAAAAAATTTCTTCATGGACTTCTTGGGTTAAAACACTTCTAAATGGGATTTATCAATAATTTACCCATTTTTTAACTTATTAGGAAAAGATATGTAAAAAAATAGTAAGAATAAGTTGAGTTTTTGTATTAACTTTTTTGATTTTTTGCTATTTTAGCTAATTGTCAACACATGGATCTCTCGTGACATTTGAAAATAATATAATAAGTTATATAAATTTGACATAATTATATTAAACACTTCTAAAATTTTAATTCATATAATACTTAGTTTCTTTTTTGTCAAAAATACATTAATCATAGACTAGGGGAAAAAAAAATTAGTATTGTCGTATCTTTTGCACTAAATACAAATTTTATTTTAATTATCTTTTGAGTCAATTATACTTTGCACCCCTACACTTTACACCAAATCTCACTTTGGCCCCTATATATGAAATCATGACAGTCAACCCATTGCACTTCTAATCAAATCTCACTTTAGTCCCTGTACATAAAATTGTGACAGTCAACCCCTTGTACTTTTGGTCAAATCTCACTTTGGTACTTATACAAGTGTCAATTTTCCCTTTCTGTTATTTAATTGTTTAAATCATTAACAGAATCCAGTTATATGATAAGAATGTGATTACGACATGAAGGTAGGATAGGAAAATCATTTATATTTTTTACCAATACACACTTTAACCCAAAATTTACGTAAAAATATGACTCTGTATTAAGCTAAAACAAAACGTAGATTGTAAACAAATAAGAAGATAAACTAGAGTTTTGCATAAATTGAAATTACAAAACTCTGTTTTTCACGGTAACATAGTTTTCTGTCTATTTATCTTTCTTTCTCTTTAATTTCTTTGTCGCGGCTATTTATTTATTTATTTATTTCAAAAGCTCTACTTTCTTATCTTTTCATCTCAATTTTACTATACAAACATATATATATATATATATATATATATAAATAGCTTACTTGTATTGCTATTAGCCACTTTTGAGTAACTGCGGTCCAAACTTGCCATGTTATTGTACCACATCTACTGCAAACTAGTGGTGGCTTAAAAGGATAGGCGCTCTATTTAGGAGGGCCCTACTTACTATATATTCACTACACAATACATATATATATATATACATAAAAGAACTTATACTTCAAATAATTCTAAAAAAAAAAAGTAGCGAAAAATCTCTCAGTAATAAATAAAAATAATTAAATCTTAAATTATATAACAAGAATAACACTTCATGAGTTATCTTAGACTATCAGTCAAATCACAAAGAGAGAAAACAACCTCTCTTGCTGGAGGACATTTACATTACACCTCTTTTTTTATCTGGTCAAGTCAATAAATAAATAAATAAATAAAAGGCGTTTTTATCAAAATTATTTTGATTGTAAAGGTAAGGGAAAATTGTTAAGAATTTTAAATAAAAATTATAAAAAAAATATATTACAAAGGGCCCCAATTATAATTTTTCGCCTTCATTCAGATAGTTTTGATCCATGTGGTGCATAGTTTAGCCATTGAACACACAACAGTTTGGGCATTGATCTAATGCGCAGAATTGATGTAAAAAAATGATACAAGAAAAATATTGCAAATCGGATTTCAGTTTATCCATTTCCTGTTACAGATCAGTAGGTTTCGGGAAAGCAGAGGTGGAAAAACATGGCAGTAGAAATTTTCGTTCATCATGTCACACTCTTTTTGTTTTCCCAGTTAAGCTTAGAAAAAAAAAATTGCACATTTTGCAGACTAACTAATGTACAAAATGTTTTCTTTCCCAGCAATTCAAGAGCATAACCCTTTAACCAAATTAATTAGTCATAAAATGGCTCTAATTTTGTCCAAAATATAAGCTGGCTTTGTTCCTTCTTCAAACTTAATTTACTATTCATTGACACATCTTTTGGAGAATAAAGTTTGAACCGTAACCCACTAATTTGATGTTCTCTTGTTTTACTTGAATCATGAGAAACTCTTATACTCTCACAAAATATCGATCTACTTCGCCTTCACTACAGAACTTGAAAATGTTTGAATTAAAACTATGGGAAATCTAATCTTGCTCACTCTATTGATGTGGTTTTGTATGTACTATGGAAATGACGATGGAAGTACTTGAAGAAATAAAAAGGGCAAATATTATTGAGAGTTGCAATTTTATCAACTCTACCTAAAACACCATTAATCTTGGTATCATGGAGTGATTTGCACAAATAAAAATCTATTATTATAGTTCACTACATATGAAATGGAATACAAAAACTTCAAACAATCAGTCTTAATTTGCTCATTGGAGTCTACTTTATTTACCGTGGTCCTGATAAAGCTGATGCAAATAATGGAGTGACAGCACCAATGGCATTTCCTTGGTGACCAGCAACTGTAATTGGTCTTGGTGCCACAGGAGTTGTGAAGTTATAACATAAATTTCTTTGAACATTTACAGAACCCTCCAAGACCTTAACCACCACCGACATGGAAGGCCTCATGGAAAAATCACTTTGTAGACACCACACAGCAACCCTCATCATCTCCACAACTTCTGCTCTATGTGTTTGCATGTCATCATTGTATTTATCAACAATATCCACAAGTCGTTCCTCTTCTGCTTTCCTCTTAAATAGATCTAGCAGATGCATATCTTCCTCATGCTGAGACCTATCCAAATTTTTGCGTCCACACAACATTTCCAAGATCACGACACCAAAGCTATAAACATCTACTTTCTCGGTGATAATTGAGCTCAACCATTCGGGTGCCAAATAGCTTGGTGTTCCCCTCATCATTGTTACAACTTGGCTTTGGTCCTTATCAATTAGTTTTGACAATCCAAAATCAGAAATTTTCGCATTGAAGTCTTCATCTAAGAGAATGTTTTGGGGTTTGATATCTAAGTGGAAAATCTTTTGCCTGCATTCCTCATGAAGATAGGTTAGTCCCTTGGCTATATCCATGATGATCTTTTTTCTGGATTGCCACCCAAGAGTGAGCTCCTGGTGCCTTTGGAAGATCCATATATCCAAGGTTCCATTGGACATGTACTCGTAAACTAGAGCCCGATATGATTTTTCAGCACAAAAACCAATTAATCTCACCAAATTGACATGGTGAGTGGTGCCTATTGTCTCAACTTCAGCTAAGAATGACTTCTTAACCTGACCAAAACCATTGAGATGCTTCACTGCTACATTGGTGCCATCACATAGTGTCCCTTGAAACACTGACCCAAATCCTCCTTCACCAAGCTTATTATCGAAGTTGCTTGTCATGACTCTCAATTCTTCATAAGAGAATCTGGTAGGCATGCCTGGTAGTTGATCAATATAGAACTCATCAAGTTCCTCGGATTCTCCTTTATTTCTAATAAGGAAAAGGCAAAAAGCAATCACAAAAAATACACCAAAGAAAGCTGCGAGATTGGATCCCAATACGATTTTGACATGCCTTGATTTCTTCTGAGGAGAATCTGTTGGTAAAGGAGTAGGATACTCTGCAGCCGGAGATTTTTGCACTTTAAGAAACACAGCAACATTCTGATACCGTCCCTCATTAGTCATAAGAGAAAAGACTTCCGACCGTAGAAAACAACCTGGATATGCAAACATGGCAGCTTTGCATGAACAGTTTTTTAAGCAACTCTTCTTGCAGTCCTCTAATGATATGTTTTCAACCAAATATTCATTGTTTGAATTTAAGTAAAAGTAACTCGTATTGTTAAGCTCCAAAAGGGTGTGATATTGAGAATTGTTACAAGAAATGGGTGTAGCAAGGGAACATCCAAGGCTGGGTCGCCTATAATTTATTTGCCTGAAAGTGCTGTTGCCGGTGGCTTCCTCAAGACAACTGCACTGTCCATTTGAAGAACAGATGCCGTAATTGCCACACGCCATGGGATAACCACAGTCACCAATAGATGATGTCAGCAGATCAGCCACCACATTCCAATTCGATCCACCCCACTCATAAGCCTTCAAATGCCCATCAGGATCCAACCTTATGAACTGAGGTGACGATGATGATGCAACAGAGATTTTCTGCCCCAAAAACCTTCCTTTCTCGAATTTAACATATTTCACTCCTACATAGGATTTAAAATAGGGCAAGGGTGGATTGGATTCTACATAAGCCACCACCAGATTGTAATAATCGTGAACTTTAAGAGAAAACAAACCTGGAGTCAAGTTTGATGCGGATTTGCTGGAGGTGAGCTTCCGGCCACGAAACAAAGTCTGGCCAACAAGCAAGGAGTCAGTTGGGTGATCAAACGACTGCCAAACCGTTGCATTGTTTTGATCAAAGAGGACCAGGTTTCCCAATTCAGTGAAATTCATGCCGAAGACGGACTTTCCTGATGTGTCAGTAGACCATACGAAAGTGCCATCTGCGTCTTTCAATATCAAGTCTCCATCTCCAGTGAGTTGTAAGGTGGCGTCAATTTGAACAGGACGGTCCCGGTTAGCAGACCAAACTAGTTCAGGTGCAAATCTAGGAGACGAGTAGTCACTAAAATAATATCTACCATCGAAGAGTACAACACCAAAGAGGCATGCCTGAGTTTCTTGAGTAGGGCAATAGAAACCACAGATCAAATGTGAGCCATAGGATGATCCTTCAAGGACGGGTGAGAGATTAAAACCCGACAAATTAACGGGCTTGTTGATCCAAGAAGTATTTAACTTTGCCATTGGAGGTTCAAATTGGGCATTGTTAAAGAAGGATACTGAGGCTATGAAAAAGATAATAACAGCATAACAAATAGTGCAAGATAGACCCATTGAGTTGTTTATCATTACAGCTCTGTTTCTTCTTCTTGGTCACTAGTTTTTGTTTTTCTTTGGGGAAAGCAATGGAGAAGAAGGTGTTGAAAAAGAAAGGTGAGTTGCAAACTCTAGATTTCGTTTCTCCCAAATGCAGAACAACGAGGAAAGTGCTGCATTTCAAATCACTCTTAAATCACTAGTACAAGAATTATTGCAAGTCATTGAAATGTTATTTACGTTCCCCACTCCTTTTGTTACGTCAAAAAGGAGGAAATATCATTTTGCCAACTAAAGTTTCACACAATTTTTAATTTGATTTTCCAATTTTGATTAATATTAATTTTACATTTAAACTTTTAAAATTTTAATCAATTTAGTTCTTGCCGTCACATGTCTTCTACAATTGGACGGGATGTGCTGACGTGGTACCAAATTTTATTTAGAATTTCATTTAACCTCAAAACTATACCTTAAAAATTAATTTGCCCCCCCAAATATAACAAATTAAATTTAAATATTTAATAAAATGAAAGGGTAAATTATTTATAAGTCCTATTTGAAAGACTTATGCAATGTATGGTCCTATGAAAAAACTTATAACCTAATAGATCCTGTGATTTTCTTGTGGACACATCTACCCCCAATCTTAATTAATTAATAACCTGATTAATGATAATACCATATATCTATATGGTTAGAAATTTGAAATTCAAAATAACCTAATTAATAGCAATACCATATATGTGAAATTCAAAGTTACCATAGATTGTGATCATATCTATATGGTTGGAAATTTGAAATTCAAAACATAAATGTGACATGTAACATCCCAGACCCAATGTGACATTCCCATATGCTTCTGAAATTCAAAATAACTTGATTAATAGCAATACCATGTATAGGGAATCCAATATTACCATAGACTGTAATCATGTCTATATGATTGGAAATTTGAAACTGAAAACATAAATGTAACATGTAACATCCTAAACCCAATGTGACATTCTCATATACTTCTCATCCCAAACTCAACGTAAATGTAACATGTAACATCTCAAACCCACTGTGACATTCCCATATACTTTTCATCCCAAACCCAATGTGACATTCTAATACTCCACCGTTGAATTATGAATAATTTAACCTCCTAAATGCAACATGTAACATCTCAACCCAACCCATGTATTGAACCACCATGACTCCCAACCCATCGTAACTTCGATATCATACGACGAGGTTTAACCCACATTCAATTAAAAAATTAAAAATCCAATAATTTTGCGCAATGTAATGTGACACGTATGTAAATACTAAATACAACAACGATACAGCACACATTCAAAGACAAATACAACCGAACGTGTCACGACTCGCTCCTCGTACCCAAGGGTTAAGCATCGTGATGGCCAGTAACTGAAGTTACCTCCAGCCAATTTTTGAACAAATTAATAAACGCAAGCGGAAATAATATTTAAGTAAGGGTACCAAAATAATCATCGTAGCTTCTATTTTTATTACAAAATTTACTGACCAAAAAGGCCAATATTTACATATAAATATATCTTAAAAGTATTGTATGTGTCTATTCCACAACCCAGCGTCTAAGACTTTCCATAAGCTACTTCTGAATTGCATGGTTTCCTGAAAATTGGTAAACAGCTATGAAAAATTTAAAAATCCCCTAGATATTGATTTGTGATTATGTAACAATTTTAAGCAGTATATAACAGTCCCAATCAAACAATCAAGACAAATCAACACAACGATTTTAACGTGGAAAAAACCACAATTGGACACCTTCAACTGTGATTAAAAAACCACGGGCAACAGCCACAAAACAATCCACTAAGAAGATTTAAAGGAATTACACAGGTATACTCTCAATTACCTAGCGAATCCAGGCCTAATTGAACCAACCTCTATGTGCCTCTTCCAACCCGTCTTTACCTCGGAATTGCCTTTACAATGAGCCACCCCGAAATCCACCAAAGCTTCAGGCTCAAATTCTTCAGAATCCACCGAAGAACAACTCTCTCTTTTGTAGAACAAACAAAACCTTTGATGTATACTCTTTAAAACATGAGTTGATTACTCAATCAAAACATCAAAGAAAACTCACAAAGTATCCCCAGATATAAACCCTAGAACCCAAAAAGAGGATCTGGAGTAGTAATCCTAAAATCTGACCCAACACGCGAATTTATAAAATCTGTCCCGCGATCTCCGCTCGAGCGCCCAACAGCCCGCTCGAGCGGCTTCAGCAAAATATGTGCGTGATATAACAGAGGTCCGCTCGAGCGCTAGAGAACCCGCTCAAGCGCGAAATTACACATCTCAGTACTTTTACAGGCGACCAAAACTGCTGGAACTAGGAATTCTCCGCTCGAGCGAGGTAATGTCCGCTCGAGCGGACAGGCAACTTGTAATGCATTTTTGCATCAGCTCGATCCCCGTCATAATCAGCGAAGTGGCAATCTTGAAAGCATTAGCATCACAAACTTCTCTAAAAGGCACAATTCGGGTTGGATTCGCATCTAACAACTCATAGCCTCACTGAAATAAAAATGTGAAAAAAATTACAACTCAAAGGAGTTTTGTCAAACGGGATTGCCAAGAAATAAAACCTAACAAGCTATAAGCACATGGCAAAGTGAGAAATATTATACCAAGGGTATAAGGGACACAAAATAACCATGGATAGTTATGTAGTAAAATATTTAAGATAACTTACTCTAAACAAATAATCATTTAAGTAACAAAACTGAGATTATGTAAATAAATAACCATAACTACGGTACCGAACAGAACAAAACAGAGGTCACAGGAGTGACAGTCAGAACAGAGGTACGGATTCAATAGGTGGCTCGTACGGATTATAGAGGTGGCTCCCACAATAGTGTAGCACTTTGCTCCGCGCAGAACAGATGTCAATAGGTCCATGACAATAGAGGGCCACAAAGTGACCAAACAGAGGCCAATGGTTATTTAAGTCTCCTAAGGCATGGGACTCCCGTGGTGGTACTTACAAAACATAATTGTATATAAGGTCATAGTCAAATAATCATAAAAAGTTAAACAAACGTATCCATGGGTTTCATTTTAAACAAATAGAATTCAGAAAATAACCCACGTAATTGAAATATTAATATAATTTATAAAACATAACTTGTATAAAATAAATTATGGTAAGTCAAAATATACATAAAATATATTACGGTGATTCAAGATATAATATAATTCACCTTTATATTAATTCCAACTTTTACGTTTGGCTCATTACGACCCACTAAATGTTAGAGAGAGAGAGTGAATTGGTGATAAGGATGAAATTGGCATCTATATGCATCTATATATATATATATAGGGGATAAGTGTGGCCAGCAAAGACAGCTTGGTGGGCACGCAAGTTTGTTGTGCAAAAAATTGTGTATTTTAGTGTATTTTGGTCCAGAAAAATATAGAAAAAAATATAATAAAAATATCATAATACTCAGAAAATAATATCGAATAATAATACAAAGTTAAAATTATTATTATTATTATTATTATTTTGAAATCATTTATAATTAAATAATACTAATATAAAATATAAGGAAAATTTAAATTTTCGAGTTGTTATAGAACGTAACACACAAAAGACATAACAACATTGTGGATGTAGGTTAACATTATAACCTAAGGCCCCGTTTGTTTTGGGGAATAGAGGGAGGGAGGGATGGGATTAAGATAGAGGTGGAACCCATTTAATGTTGTGTTTGTTTGTAGATTTGGGAAAGAGATTGAGATGGAGGAGGGGATTAGGTTGGGCTTTGGAAGGGGGATTAGGATGGAGGAGGTGGATATGGTATTAGAAAAATAGTCCCCCGGACTAGAAATATATATATATACATATTTTTTTTAATTTTTACATGTTGGGCATTTTTTTTTGAACATTAATGTTTAATTTTTTGTATTTTTTGTTAAGTAAAAACCATTGTTTTATTTGTTTTATTTTTTTCTAAAAATTTTTATTTTTTTAATATTTTACATGTTAGGCATTTTTTTTGAATATTAATATTTAATCTTTTTGTATTTGTTTTATTATTTTATATAAAAATAATTTAACAATCCCTACACTAACAACTATCATCAAAACAAACATAATTTTACTTAATCCCCTTACTATGAATCTCCTCCATTATATCTCTGAAAACAAACGGGACCTAAATGTAACGTCATTTGAGGCTAATGAAAGTGTGCCAATGGATGGTTGTAATAGACTATCAAAGCCATATCAAACAAAATGACAGTGAAACATGAACAATTGGCACCACACAACAACAAATCTCACTAATTTGAGAAGCAAAAACCGTACCTCCTTCCCTCAACCACTTTGAGTCCAAATCAGTAGAAGCAAACAAAACACAACCTCTAACCTTGATGATAGTATTGGCCGTATCCTCATCCAAACAAGCAACATTTTCAAAATCCATAGTTGTCGTCTATAATCAAAAAGAAGTTTATGACGTAGTATCAAAACTTCATTTAAAATTTGAAAAATTCTAAACATACATAAAATTCATAGAAAAAAACTTGGCAAGAATGATATAGCAATGTCATTATTGTAAATAAATCCATTTTTGATGGTTTTTTGTTTTGAAGTGAAAGGTCCACAATGAGCCGTATCATTATGTATGAAAATTATCCATAAATTTTTTGTTTGTATAGTATTATTCTTAAAATTTTATTTCACCTCTCAAAGTAATAATTATAAACTTATATTTCTATTTCATAATCATTAGATATATAATGAAAATCCTTTATTATAAATAATAGAAATTCTTTATTATAAACTTTTAACAAAGATGGTCAAAGTCCAATTTAGGAAATATCATTTTGACTCTCAAACTTTCACTTATTTTTCAATTTAATCTCCAGATTTCGATTAATATCAATTTTACACCCAAATTTTAAAAATTTTGATTAATTTGGCCCCTGCCATCACATTCAGTCTATAATTTGACGGAATGTGCTGACGTGACACCAAAATTTATTTAGAATTTCATTTTGGGAAAATTATTTATAAGTCCTATTATGAGAATTTATTTAATGTGAAGTCCTGTATAATTTCTTATAGAATTTCAAATCATATTTAGATAGGATGTGTTTCATAAGATCCTACGAGTTATAAATAAATGGTATTAGAGTACTATTATACCCCTTATTTATTTTCATATTATAGGTTATTGTATCATTCAGT